GCTTATCCATGCTAGTCGCTAGCCTCTCTGATGCTAATACCAGGTTAGCTATGCTAGTCGCTAGCCTCTTCGATGCTAACACCAGCTTATCCATGCTAGTCACTAGCCTCTCTGATGCTAACACCAGGTTATCCATGCTAGTCGCTAGCCTCTCTGATGCTAATACCAGGTTAGCTATGCTAGTCGCTAGCCTCTTCGATGCTAACACCAGCTTATCCATGCTAGTCACTAGCCTCTCTGATGCTAACACCAGGTTATCCATGCTAGTCGCTAGCCTCTCTGATGCTAATGCCAGCTTATCCATGCTAGTCACTAGTCTCCGATGTTAATGCCAGCTTATCCATGCTAGTCACTAGCCTCTCTGATACTAACACCAGGTTAACTATGCTAGTCGCTAGCCTCTCTGATGCTAACACCAGGTTATCTATGCTAGTCACTAGCCTCTTCAATGCTAATGCCAGTTGATCCATGCTAGTTGCTAGCCTCTCTGATGCTAACACCTGCTTATTCATGCTAGTCTCTAGCCTCTCCAATGCTAACACCAGCTTTGCTTATCCATGCTAGTCACTAGCCTCTCTGATGCTAACACCAGCTTATCCATGCTAGTCACTAGCCTCTCTGATGCTAACACAAATGAATAATCTCCTTCTCATTTGCCAGCACCAGCCTCTCAGTTGGCGGTGCTGGCCTATCATTAATCAGATCAATAGCTGGTTCAGGAGCCTCCTGCTACAAGGATGTAGCAACCACTGGTTGCACAATAGTCTTAATTTCAGCCCTCATTACCACACCATCTTCTTCCTGTTTAGAACTCTGAGCCCACCTGAGGGTCCAGGGTGAGGCGGGTGGAGCTCTCTAAATAAATATATACTCGAAATAGAAAAGAACCGTTGAATGCAAACACACAGCTAAAAAGGAAAATGACCACAGCAGCTAAAAAAGACTCCAACTGACTAAAAGAGACCAAAAAAAAAAAAAAAAAGGAACAAGAAACATGAACTCAGTAAACCCACAAAACAAAAACAGATGCCAAATTATGACACATTAAAACCAAAAAAAAGATGCAGATTTAATAAAAGCCAGCTGTGAAAACTCCAAACTGTAAATTCAAACAAACAAGAGGTGAAGAGAAACAAAAAACTGACCCACAAATAAAACAAACACAGAAAAAAGGAGAAATGAGGACAAAACTGTAAAAACAAAGTAAAAAGAGGACAAACGGCCAAATCAATCTGACCCAGACTGAGACAAAACAACACATCCGGACCCCCAGAACCCCCCGGATCAGCTGCTGTCTTTGATTCTATAGAAACTGAACTACACAGCCCATTGTCTGAATATTATTCATCTGTTTAAACAAAGTCAGAAAGAACAAAAAGAGTCGATTGGAGGTGAATTTCTGTCTGAATCCACCCATCAGAAACAAATAATCATCCAAAGCATCAATCAGGAAATCAATTTCATTCTAAATAAGGAAAATAAATTAAAATTTCACGTCTGAAATGAGTTTCAAACTGAATTTATGACACTCTGAGCAAAGATTCATGATCGAATCAATAAAACAGCCTCGTTCTCAGGAAACTGTTTAAAATCTGATCACTGATAAAACTCCCATCTCCAAACATAATCAGAGGATATTGAAGCAGGCGGCAGCATCACTTCTCCCTGTCTGCGTGTGATTAACGTGTTGTGTTCACGTCCCGTTTCATACGTGCTTCCTGTGGAAAAACCTTCATCACCAGAGGAAGAATCATTTCCTGTCCTGCTCGTCTTCACCTTCATCCTCCTCCTGCAGCATCAGGAGGCAAAACTGCTGAATCACTGTGTGTGGTAAACGTATCTATTTTCAGGACCTAGAGTTAAAATTTAAACTATTATTGAGTTTGTTCGGAGCTCATTTCAGTTTCTCCTCTGGCTTAAATAAAACTCACTCAGGGCTGCGTTTTATATATGTTATTATTCTATAAAATTATTATTAAGCTTCTAGATCGACCTTTCAAAAAAAAACAACCTCAGTCCATCTGAAGGTTTGTGGTTTGTGAAACCAGAAAACCAACCAGTTTTAATAAACTTCATTTGTTCTGTCCAGAAAAGAAGTTCTCAAATATCAAACAGAAACCACCAGGAGACTCTGTTTGAGGGACGTTTAACTTCAATCTTATATTTAGAGTCAAGAAATTTAATTTCAAACAGATTTATATTGTTCAGACAGCTCAGGGCAGATAAACCTGAACGTCATCAGCATAACGTTGGAAAGGAAGCAAACATTCCCCAAAAATGGACCGTAAAGGTAAACAGCAGAGGACTGAGAATACAGCCCTGAGGGACCCCACGAGTCAGAGGAGCTTTAGAAGAGGAGCGTTCCTCTAAATAAATAGAAAAATTTGTCCCGTGTTTCTGACTCAAGATGATAAAACAAACAGTTTCATTTAAAATGTGAATGTTTTAAAATCCCGTGGCCCTGGGTGACGATGATGAAGACGCGGTCTCTTCAGGTCGTCCAACAAGCTGCACGCTTTGTTTTTTTACAACACAAAGAAAAGTCACGAGGAGCTGCAGGCGGAGAACAGAGCGTCTCAATAATACGCCTGAAAACCTTCCTCACAGTTTGACTGTTCTTCACAGCTGAGCCTCGGGAAAACAACAGACATGAGAAGTCAGGAGGAAGAGGAGTGGGAGGCGAGGACATCATGTGCTGTGTGTGTGTGTGTGTGTGGGGG